CTCATGTACCTGATGACGTGCACACGACCTGACCTCGCGTACCCTTTCAGCATCCTTGCTCGCTTCGTCGTGCCAGCGCGACACACGAAGGAGCACTGGACAGCTCCGCAGAGGGTACTACGTTACTTGTGCAGTACATTGGGCATGGGACTCGTGCTTGGAGGACGGGGTTCAGTGGTATTGACAAGAGACCCCGATGCTTCTTGAGCAGATGACTAGGCGACTCAGCGGTCCTCACAAGGTTACTCTTTCAGTCTTGGCTCTGTTTTTGTCTCGTAGAGGCCCACTCTTTTGTCTTCTATGCATGGTTCTAGTTGTGAGGCCGAGATCTACGCTGGGGCCATGGCTGCACAGGAGTTACGCTGGCTGACCTACCTGCTGACCGACTTGGGTGAGCGGCCTCGTTGTCTTCCAGTTCTGTACGTCGACAACAAGGCCATGATTGCCTTGTGTCAGGAGCAGAGAATGGAGCACAGAACGAAGCACATTTCTCTTTGTTACTTTCTGGCTCGAGAGTTGCAGCAGCGTGGTCAGATGCGCCTTGCTTACGTGGCCTCTCGGGCCAACACTGTTGATGTCTTCACCAAGGCCCTTGTACCTGGTGATCATAAGCGTTTCTGCACTGCTCTAGGCCTTATGCCTACTCTGCCTCACCTGCTAGTTGCTTGCCTTGTCTTGTACTGTGATATATATACACATATTGTGAATGCTTGCTTATGTGCATGCTTGCTTTTGCTAGGTTGTGAATTGTGATCCCTGTACTGCTCGTGCTTTTATAACTTTGCACGTGAACTGGCCTTGTGGCCGCTTGCTTGTGCTTAGAATGCGTGGTGATATTGAGATCCACCCTAAGCTTAGCTTTGATTTGTTCTCTTGCTTGACTGGTCTTGTGATCGTTGGTTGTTCTTGCTATCCCCCACTTTGCCTATGGGGGGGCGTCAGACTATATTTCTATGTTGTAGGCTGTAGTGGGGTAGCCTCTACTGAGTACAACACATTAGGGTTAGACATTTCCCTACTTGTACTCGTCCATCCTTCCTAGTCACTCATTCCTGCACACCATTCTGACAACCGTTGCACCAAATTGCAATTTGTATGTGTAAGGAAGAACCCTTTTTCATTAATGGGATTTACCATCATCGCCCGGATATAAGACATATATGTCTTATCTCGTACACGTGCAAAATTACGTGGGTCGTCTTGTATTTGGGACAGTTTAGGGTGTCTTATAAGTCTTATAAATGGACAAAGAACCGTTTAGAAGATACGCCCTCGCTATACAATCGCCCCTAACCCCTACACTTGCTTAATTTGTACAAGAGACACCCGTCAGGGTGTCTTATTATGAGACTACCCCGTTTATAAGAGACACCCGGATAATAGACACTCCCTGTCTTCTACTCAACACTGTCTCATATCCGGGTGATGACGGTACTGTTTTGCGTACAAACCCGACTATTGGAAGTGCACGTTCGGCTGGTTTCCTTGACACCGAAGCAACCTCACGATTTCCCTTTGCCCAACCTACACCCAACCTCGGGTTTTCCCGAGGTTCCCACCTAGCTATCGTAGGTCGGCTCGCTATAATGTTTCGTGTCATTCATCGTATCGGCAATTCATCTTGTTACAGCTTCGATTTTCATTATTCCGTGCAACTCTGTCAAACAGCTCATAACAGTATGCGAAATCTTTACCGTACGTACGAACTACCTTATGTTAAGATTTTCTGAGAAAATACACATTTTCAGAGTGAGGAAACTCAGGGACATAAATGTCCACTATGGCCTCCTCACCTTGCTGTGCTTGAGTTCATTCAGTCCATTCGAGTCCACCAACTTCAGTGCCTGGAGTCCTCCATGCAAGGAATGACAAAACGAAGGAGAGTTGGGGCATAGGGTAATGTTCAACTGGAAAAGCGGTTCTAGCCAGCATGCACAGAGAATGACCATGGTAAGTGTTCATGGGCACTATGGTGGTGGTCAGAGAGGGCAAGCAATAATATTACCATGGAATTTATGATGTGGGAGAGTTTAGAACCGGTTTGCATTATCATTGTGCAAAAAAAAAAATACATGCGTTATTGAACATATCATTATCTACGCTGATGCCATTGGTGTGGTTGTAGCTGAGTCAGACGAGACGGTTGACAATCAAGCTTGAATTATAGTACATAGAGAAACCGGGGGAGAGATTAGTATGTACAGAGAGAATGGAATGGGGGGAGAGGCACGGTGTATAGCGTACAATGTAAGAGCGCATACTTACAGGCGAGAAAGAGGTACAGCTGGGATAGGCGGGAACTGAAGAAGGGTTGTTAGGGGATGGCATAAGTGACGCTATCAGTTTCGATCTGAACATGATATAAAATGCTACAGTTGTTGTGGTAACATTCACAGTAAGCACTTGGCTCGTGTCACCTGTATTGGCTCTACAAAACATATAGTCAAGGAATGTAAAGGAAAAAGAGGCACACGAGCTCACAGCTGCTGGAGCTTCTGCAGTTGATTGATGGCAGCTGGCAGACTACCGGTGAGATGGTTGTTGGCCATGTAGCTGCGGGGTGGTGGCAGGCAGGCAGGAAGGGAGACAAGTGTGAAAAAGGAACGTGAATGAAATGACTATGAACGAAGTGAGTACAAATAGGAAACCCTAATTGGGTTGTACCCCCTATGGGATACCCCACTATAGCCTACACAAATAAGTAAGCTATAATGTTCAAACACACCCCCATAGGCAAAGTGGGGGAGAACAAGGGGTCACAAGACCAGTCAAGCAAAGCAAAGCAAAGCTCAGGGTGGATCACAAAGTCACCACACATTCCGAGCACAAGTTCAAAGACCAGAAGGCCAGTTCACATGCAAGATCATATATAGAGATATACAAGAGTCAAGCAAGCAAGAGCAAGAGTATATATAGGTGAAGGTACAAGCAAGGTCAAGAAGTGAGCAAGTGAGGCAAGACAGGCACAAGACCCAGCTGCGTGCAGCAACGCTGATGATCACAAGGCGCAAGTGCGTTGGTGAAGACATCAGCAGTGTTGGCCTCAGAGGCCACGTACGCAAGTCGCAACTGTCCACGCTGCAGTAGCTCACGAGCAAGAAAGTAGCGGAGAGCAATGTGCTTTGTCCTGTGCTCCAGTCGCTGCTCTCGACACAAGGCCAGCATGGCCTTGTTGTCTACGTACAGGACTGGAGGAGAACGAGGCGGCTCTCCAAGGTCGGTCAGTAGGTAGGTGAGCCAGCGTAACTCCTGTGCAGCCATAGCCCCGGCGTAGATCTCAGCCTCACAACTGGAGCCGAGAACAGAAGACGAGCGGGTAGCCCGCCACGAAACAGAGCCAGAACCAAGGCTGAAGGTGTAACCCTGTGACGGCCGCTGCGTAGCCTGGTCGTCAGCCCAAGAAGCGTCCGCGTGCCCAGTGAGGACCACTGGACTGCGCCCTCCAAGCACTAGCCCCATGCCCGACGTACTGCACAAGTAGCGCAACACCCTCTTCGCTGCAGCCATGTGCTCTGGTCGGTGTCTCCCAGGAGCAACATAGCGTGCGAGAATGCTAAGAGGGTATGCAAGGTCAGGTCGTGTACAGGTCATCAGGTACATGAGGCAGCCAACTAGCTCTACATACGGGCCAATCGACTCTACGGACTCATCCGAAGGCAGAGCTGAGAGCGAGTGGCGAGTAGGCAGAGGAGTGGCCTGAGGCGAGGAGTACGTGAAGCCGAAGCGCTGAAGGACTTGCTGCACCATGTGTGACTGAGTCAAGGTAATGGTGCGGCGTGCTCTGTCCCGGGTGATCTGCAAGCCAAGGTAGCTGCGCAGTTCACCCAGGTCAGTGCACGTGTGTCTCTTCTGCAGCTCGGAATTCACGTTGGCGAGTCCAGCAGGGTCAGCTGTGGCAAAGACCAAGTCGTGGACATACACGAGGATGTAGAACGGCAGCAGAGAGGTGTCGGTGCGCAGAAACAGCGACGGGTCGGCAGTAGAAGGAGCAAACCCAAGTGCCGCCAGTGTAGTCCTCAGTGTGTCATGCCACTCACGTGGCGCCTGGCGGAGACCGTAGACTGGACGCCGGAGACTCCACTGGGTACCAGGAGGGAAAGACCCAGTGAAGCCAGGTGGGCGACGCAGCCAGATCTCCTCGTGCAGGCTGCCCTGCAAGAAAGCTGTGCTGAAGTCGAGAGAGTGCAGCTCGTAGTCACGGTGAGCAGCAACGTGCAGCAGTACCCGAAGAGTGGTCATCTTCGGGGTGGGGGAGAAGGTCTGAAAGTAGTCAACCCCCTGCCGCTGACTGAAGCCACGAGCCACGTAACGCGCCTTGAAGACAGGCGGAGAACCCGGCGGCCTCTTCACCCTAAAGATCCACATGCCACTGACGATGTTCGCCCCAGGAGGGGGGACAGCGTCAACGTAGGTGCCTGTGGACTTCCAGAAAGCCATCTCTGCATCCATAGCTGCCTGCCTCTGAGAGGAGTAGGGACCCTCTATCGCCTCCGCGTAAGAGCGCGGAGTCGGGGTGTCTAGTGCATCCGGGTCTCCCTCAGGGGCTAGCAGTACAGACGCGAGATGAGGCGAAGCGGCGGCCAGACACTCGAACTCCTCCTGCTTGTCCTCAAGGACGTTCGTGCCAAAGGCACACTCACCCCCGACGGACGGAGGACAGGCAGACTCAGACTCAGCGACAAGACTAGCAGCGTAGTCTAGACGACAGCGCGCAGCAAAGTCGACGAGCTCAGTGACAAGGGCAGACGCAGCAGAAGACTCGAAAGAAGGGTCAGTGACAGCAATAGCAAGGAGACGCGTGACAGTAGGACTGGCAGCATGAAGAGAGTCCGACTCCGGGTCGGCAAGAGCAGGAAGAGAGGAAGCAGGAGGAGAAGGCAAAGGGGCACGCAGGGGAGCAGTAGACGGACGCAGAGACATCCGGTGCGTGCCAGGGACAGGAGGAGGACGTTGACGCGACGCGCGCAGTACGAACAGGCGACGCAGGACGAGACGCAGGCTCACGACGCTCGGTAAGACCTCCAGTCGGACCAGCGTAGTGAGAAGGAGCACGCAAAGGGGAGGAAGGCTGTAGCTGTGACTGTGACGAGACAGGCTGTGGACCCTCTAAGGGAGGGGGAGGAGGACCAGGAGAAGGTGTAAGACCAAGAACCTGGTGCAGGAGCGGAACGAAGTACGGTCGGGGCCGCGCGGCGACGCCAGGAACAGCAGGGACAGCACCAGTACCCCCAGCAGGAGTACCCGCTCCAGCAGCACCTCCAGTAGCACCTCCAGTAGCTCCAGATTCTCCAGCAGCACCACCAGGAGCACTGCCAGTCGGACCGTCAGCGGTAGTCTCAGCGCAAACACCCTCAGCAGCACTAGCTCCAGGAGAACCCTCAGACCCAGCAGCTCCAGCACACACAGTACGAGCACCTCCGGGATGCTCGGCAGCAGTACCCTCTGCAGCCGAAGAACCTCCAGCACCAGCAGCACGCCTCCAGCGCCGGGCAAACCACTCACGCAGCTCCTGTGGGGGGAGTGGCTCTCGACGACACAAAGCACCTCCAGGCGTAGCACCCCCAGTCTCAGCACCCCCAGGCTCAGCACCCTCAGGCCCAGCACCCCCAGGCTCAGCACCCCCAGGCCGAGCACCCCCAGGCTCAGCACCCCCAGACTCAGTACCCCCAGGCTCAGCACCTCCAGACTCCGCACCCCCAGGCTTAGCACCCCCAAGTGTAGCACCTCGAGGCTCCGAACTCCTAGGCTCAGCTCGCGCAGCAGCACCAGAGTCACCAGTGACCTCGACAGGCTCGACCGCGTCTACCTGGGACACACCTGAAGGGGCAGGACCCTGAGGGGGGAGGGGGTCTACCGGGGGGGGAACTGGTACCAAGAAGAGCGGGGGCGGGGGGAGGGACGGAGTGCGGTAGGGGAAGAGGCGGTAGTAGGGTACCGACTCATCGAACGTGACGTACTGGGAGGACAGAACACGTCGAGAGGTGGGGTGGTAGAACTGCCACCCAGGGGCGTCGGGGGGGAACCCCAGGAAGACGCATGGAGCAGCGCGAGGGGACAGCTTGTCCGCAGACAAGTCGCGGACAAACGCCCGAGATCCCCAGACCCGGAACGCCGACGCATCGCCAACCTTCCCCGTCCACAGCACGGCTGGGGAGGTCTCCGGCCTGGAGACCCTAGGGTGGAGGTTGATCTCATGTGCTGCGTACCTGACCGCAAACGGCCACAGAAAATGGGGGGCAGCCGCATGCATCATGGACGTACGAGCGACGTCCATGACCATGCCAATGCGGCGCTCTGCAATCCCATTTTGCTGCGGGGAGTCCGGAAGCGTGAAGGTCTGGCGGATGCCTCGCGCACGACAGTAGGCACGCAGAAGGCCAGAGGAGAACTCTCTGCCTCTGTCCGAGTGCAGACGCAACACAGGAAAGTCCGAGCCAAAGCTCTGCCTGAGCTGGAGACGAGCTGCGCGGATCCAGTCGATCAGCACCTCAGTGACATCACCCTTGCTGCGCAAGGGGAAGACTGTGGTGTAACGCGAGTAGTCGTCAACCACCAACAGGAAGTAGCGCTCGTGACCGAGTCCACGGACGCGGGCAGGGCCCCACACGTCCATGTGAAGCGTCTGCAACGGAGCCTCTGTCGGAGGAAACTGGGAGGAGTGAGGGGCAGCACGCTGGCGCCCCTCGACACAGGGGCCAGGGCCCTGAGGAAGGGGAGGTAGAGACCGGGGGAGACCAGACACAAGAAGACGGGAGGCCATGCCTCTGAGCCGAAGCAGAGAGGGGTGGCCAAGGCGGTGGTGCCAGAGGAGGGTCTCGTGAGACTGACGGCAACACGAACAGGGGGCAGACTCAGGACCAGACCTGGACGCTGCAGCAAACACCTGACCAGACGAAGGGACTCTACCAGACTCAGCACCTGGAGGAGAAGCAGTGGTCAGTGTGTACAGGCTCGACCCTGGCTGACGTGTGAACGTAGCCAGGTGACGACCCGTGCTAGCCTCTGTGCAGTACGTCACTCGCTGACGAGCAGGGGTGAACTGGTGGACTCCCGCATCCTGTAGGTCAGCACCACTCACCAAGTTCGTAGAGAACGAGGGGAGGTAGAGACCAGACAGGGTGCCAGAGCGAGCCGCCGGACACGGGAGGACTGTGGAGAAGCGAGACAGGACAGGACCCCCAGAGGGGTCAGCCAGGGAAACCGCAACCGGCCGACTAAGCGGCGTAAGTGTGGTGCGGTCCCGAAAGAAAGAGCAAGACGCTCCAGAGTCAAGAGTGAAGGTGTGGGAGGCCGAAGCCGACGCAGTACCTGAGAGCGCACACGCACTCGTACCTGAGAGAGCAGTCTCACGAGCACCTGAGAGCACAGACGCACTGGCACCTAGAGCAGAAGCCTCACTGGCACCTGGAGCAGCAGTACCAATGCCCGGGTCGGGCGGGAAACACCGGTAACAGTCACCCTCATCACTAATGGTCAGAGCATACATGGCAGCAAGGACAGCATCAAAATCAAGATCAAAGATAGCTACACCAGCCCTAGACAGCTCTCCCCAGCGGGGGATCTCCGCGGCCTCCGGGAACTGCTGACGCCAAGCGTCCGTCAGTGGGCAAAGCAGCGCTGGGCGGGGTGGGCACCCCCACACTGCTCTCCAGTGCGGTCGCCAGTGCGGAGAACGTAGGTGCAGGGACCAAAACCCCCACCGCGCTGACGCTGCGTGTACCACTCACGGAGCTGCTGAGGGGTGGGGACGTCGCGAGAACGCTGTTGCTGCTGCTGCTGCTGCTGGCGCTGACCGCCACCAGTGCCGCTCCGCTGCGAAGCTCCAGTCCGACCACCTCCACCTCCGCCACCCCCGCCTCCGCCTCCACCGCCCCCGCCTCCACCTCCACCGCCGCCACCTCCGCCACCTCCGCTACCACCGCCACCGCCGCCGCCACTCCCGCCTCCACCGCCGCCACTAGCACCCCCACCCCCGCTACCACCTCCACCGCCACCCCCACTCCCTCCGCCGCCTCCACCTCCACCGCCACCGCCCCCACTGGCCCCACCCGCTCCCTTGCCCCCCTTGCCCTTGCTAGAGCGGCGTCTCCCGCTAGGGGCAGACGCCGCACCGACCGACTCAAGACCAACGCGGTCGGCCGCAGCGGCAGAGGCGACAGAGGGCAGGAGAGGGGAAGGAGAACACCCCTCAAAGATGGGGGCGCGGGGGTCACCTCGAGAGGCTCCTACAGCAACTATGCTCTTCTCTGCTGCAAGGAGGGCCTTCTCGAGGCTGTCGACTGTGAGGGTGGTGGGTCAGACCGCGAGGAAGTGGTCCCGGACTACACGAAGGGAGTCAGGGAGGCGAGTGACTAGGAAGTAGAGAGTGATGTACATGGGGGGGGGGTTCTTGGCGCAGAAGTCAGAAGGAAGCGCAGCGCGGTAGCGAGTGTCACTAGTGCGGAGGTGCGTGATGAGATCAGCGACAGTGGGAAAGGCGGCAAGGTCAGGGAAGAGGAAGGGGAGCATGAGGCGGCTCAGTGCAGCAGTGGCAGGGGAGGAGTAGCGCGCAACTACAGCGTCGTACAAGGTCTGAGCACTCTTGTACTGGCTAAAGTGCGCGCGCTCAGCGGTAGGCAGGTGGCAACGCACAGCAAAACGTGCAGCAGCATCGCGCGTGGCCCATTGAGAGCGAACAGTGGCGTCAGCATCAGCAGTAGGGGCAGGGACGGCGCAAGAGGTGAGGTCAAAGAGAGACAGACTGTCGGCCCTGTCGCACTGTAAAAACAGCTGCAGGTCGTCGAGCCAGACCTCAAAGTCAATGGCTCGACCCTCAGCGTCAAAAGCGAGGACACTGGGTGTAGCCATGACGACGACAGTGGCGCAGTGCAAGCAGTAGGGGAAGGGCACGCAGTGACAGTAGTGCAGTGCTCACCGGGCAGGGCAGGTCGGGCGGCTCGGAAGGAAGGTCGCCTGGCGACACTGCCGCTAGGCTGCTGGGCGGCTCGGCTCCCGGGCGGCTCGGCTGCTGCTGGGCGGCTCGGCTGTTGCTGGGCGGCTCGGCGGCTCCTGGGCGGCTCGGCTGCTGCTGGGCGGCTCGGCTGCTGCTGGGCGGCTCGGTGGCTCTTGAGCGGCTCGGCTGCTCCGGGCGGCTCGGCTGCTACTGGGCCGCGTAGGTAGGGCGGCCGGGCGGGCCGCAGGTAGGGCGGCGGTTAGGCCGCAGGTAGGGCGGCGGGACGGCCGCAGGTAGGGCGGCGGACGGCCGCAGGTAGGGCGGCGGGTAGGCCGCATGTAGGGCGGCGGGACGGCCGCAGGTAGGGCGGCGGACGGCTGCAGGTAGGGCGGCGGGTAGGCCGCAGGTAGGGCGGCGGGACAGCCGCAGGTAGGGCGGCGGACGGCCGCAGGTAGGGCAGCGGGGAGGCCGCAGGTAGGGCGGCGGGTGGGCCGCGATAGAGTGGCGGGGCCGGTCGAAGGAGTGGCGGGGCCGCGACGAAGTGGCGGGGCCGCTTGAAGGGGTGGCGGGGCCGCTACGGAGTGGCGGGGCCGCGCGTAGGGGTAGCGGGGCCGCGACTGGGTGGCGGGGCCCCGACGAGACGGCGGGGCCTCTAGCAAGGGCGGCGGGTGGGCCGCTAAGGTAGGGCGGCGGCTAGGCCGCGAGTAGGGCGGCGGTCGGGCCGCGAAGTAGGGCGGCGGGGCCGCGAAGGAAAAGGGCGACTCGGAGGGTCGCTAAAAAAAGGCGCGCGCCTCGGGCGCGCTTCGGTGGGCCCTAAAGAACAGTCCCTAGGATGGGACCTGCTCTGATTCCATGTGAAAAAGGAACGTGAATGAAATGACTATGAACGAAGTGAGTACAAATAGGAAACCCTAATTGGGTTGTACCCCCTATGGGATACCCCACTATAGCCTACACAAATAAGTAAGCTATAATGTTCTGACAACAAGGAGACATGTTGGGGCGTCTCATAACAAAACTCGATCTTGAGACGTCTCAAATCTCAGCTGGCAGACTATTAGTGAGATGGTTGTTGGCCATGTAGCTGACAGGGTGGTGGCAGGCAGGCAAACATTTCAACAAGGCGTGGCATACGGCATGGTGCAGGAAAGCGCCATGGGGCAGTGGTGGGAAGAGTTGATGCGCCCTGGGGGCTTACAGGGATTTGAGATTGGTCATGGTGAACATGGCGGATGGGATGGTGCCTGTAAGCTGGTTGTTGTTGAGAATGCTGCAGAGCATGGGGAGGGAGGTGCACATGGGGAGGGAGGTGAGCATAGGGAGGGATGTGCACATGGGGAGGGAGGTGCACGTTTAGCCATTGCGAGAAGCGCATGGGCTGAGCGCGCATCGCCTACCACGGCTGGCGTGCTTCGACGAGCACACACTTGAAGACTGATTTCACACCTGCCATGGCAGGGCATTCTGATACAACAATCCACATTGCTCACTTGAGAATGTTCTTTCTATGATGTGTTGAAGGGCATGTGTTGAAGGGCATGTGTTGAAAGGCATGTGTTGAAGGGCATGTGTTGAAGGGCATGTATTGAAGGTGTCCCAAAGCAAGAAGAGGCTCACATGGCTTCGAGAGTGGTGAGGGTGGAGAGGGAATCGGGAATAGGCCCAGTGAAGTTGTTGCGGCTGAGATCTCTGAGACACAACACAGACGACGCAGTAACAGACCCGAGTGGGTTGGTTGGCAGAGGCTCAACAGCTGGTCGTGGGTGCAGTGCAGTGCATGCACGTCAATGGCGCCGTGCTGGCCAGCGCGACTGAGCAATCGAGTAGAGAGTGGAAATTTCGAAAGTGTGAGCGGAGGGAGATATTATGGGAAGGCTTACAGCTTTAGAAAGCTGACATTCCAATGGTTTTTGAGACGTCTCAGAAGATATTATGGGAAGGCTCACAGATCATAGCGAAAGAAGACTCATAGCTCACATGTGTGTTTTGAGTCGACTCAAAAGATATTATGGGAATCCTCACAGCTCACAGCGGAGGAAGGCTCATAGCTTTAGAACGCTGACGTTCCAGCGTGAGAAGTCTGGCAAGGCGCCTGTGAAGCCGTTCCCTTCGAGGTTCCTGCACAGTGCACGAGCAGCAAATGAAGATTCGGGGCGCTGGATGTGAAGCGCGCAGAGAAAAATGTGGCACCAGACGCACACAGTGATGGCAGCACACACAGAGCGATGGCATGGCAGCACACACACTGGTTGCACTGCATACAGATAATTAAGAGAAGTTGAGGCAATGAGAGTTTCTGGAAAGGAGATGCTTGTGTTGGCTACAACCCAGTGGTGGGATGGAGGCGACAAAGCAGGAGGGTGGTTCCATGCAGCTGTTAGAAACGGAAAGAAGCACCCTTTGTCGTCCCAACTGCCTACAAACATGCATGCATGTTCGGGCACTAATAGACAACAAGTATGGAAAGGTGATGGGGAGTTGAAGACTGAGGAGATGCAGGAGTCTAGACACAAAGCAAGCAGCAGAGCAAGCACATTCCATTCATTCCACTCCGCGTGAGCTTGGAATGCATATCGATTTCTGAAACACAGGTTCAAGCTGTAGCACGGCTCTATAGTTAGAAAAGGATCTAGGAGCAGGTGTACAGGGCTAGAGCTGCGGAGCTGCTTACAGTGAGGACAGCGTGGGTAGCTGAAACAGACTGGAAGAAATAACTCCACGGAAATTGTTGCCACTAAGATTGCTGGGGGCAACAGTGTCACAAATCGAGGTGGAAGGTGATAGTATTGTTCTGTTCTCTTCCTTGTGCAACAGAAGTCCCATTGTGAATGTGTTCTTTGAGTCCCACTTGGAATGGAATCCTACAGACACACGGACAGACTTGTTGAAGGCTCCTCAACCCAACCCAATGCCCTGCGCGACGATTCTTCTTTGCCCGCTCATGTCCTACCCACCTTTTTCAGCCCACAACACTAACACCTGAGGTGAACCCACAAAAGCGAGTGTGGTGGACGAGGCAGCAGCAGCATGCCACTCACATGATCGTCAGCTCCACCAGCCTGGTCAATTCACGGGGGATGGTCCCGGTGAATCTGTTATTCCCAAATTCCTGCCATTGCATGGCGTATGCGATTGCAACATATATAAGTAAGAGTCTTACTGTAACGCACTTCAAGAAGGCACTCGAAGAAAGATGCATCACGATCTGATGAAAATGGCAGCAACAGCTCCACGTGTAGCAGATAACTGTTAGAGTACCTCTATTCTATTTATCCTACATACACTAGTTGGCTTGAGTAAAGTTAGTACCCAAAATCAATTTGGGTGTACAACTGGAGGCTCCTACATGTAAAGGGCTGACGCATGTGAGGGGTTCCGACGGGAGCACCATTTGGGCCGTCCCTGTCGCTAGTAGCTCGGTGACTGCCTCGACCGCAAATGCGGTAAATTGAATGGCACCCGAGTGGTTTGCCGCGTGGTGGGGAGTGGGCTCCGAGGATGCCCAAGAAAGATGGTAGCCGGATGTGATTACTTACATGATGAAGCGGCTATTGTCAAACTCATATTATATTGCTTGTCTAGGCTATAGTGGGGTAGACACTATGGGGTACAGTTTCCTAGGGTTTCCTACTTGTACCCAACTTTGTGCTAGTTCATTCATTTCCTCATTCTTCACATGGTATAGAGCAGGTTCCCTAGTGGGAACGCTACCTTGGGCCCACCACTGAAAACTTCCCTTCTGACCGGAGCGCCAATCGCTCCTCCACGAGGCGCGCTTTGTTTTGCCGCCCTTTCCAGGCCCCTAGTGGCCACTAGCGGCCTCGTCGTCGCCCCTCACGCGGCCCCGTTATCGCCCCTAAGCGGCCCCGTCGCCGCCCTTAGCGGCCCGGTCGCCGCCCCTAGCGGCCCCGTCGCCGCCTCTCACCATACGCGGCCCTGTCGCCGCCCCTAGCGGCCCCGTCGCCGCCCCTCCGCGGCCCCGTCGCCGCCCTTAGCGGCCCCGTCGCCGCCCCTAGCGGCCCCGTTGCCGCCTCTCACCCTACGCGGCCCCGTCGCTGCCCCTAGCGGCCCCGTCGCCGCCCCTCCGCGGCCCCGTCGCTGCCCCTAGCGGCCCCGTCGCCGCCCCTCCGCGGCCCCGTCGCCGCCCCTAGCGGCCCCGTCGCCGCCTCTCACCCTACGCGGCCCCGTCGCCGCCCCTACACGGCCCCGTCGCCGCCCCTCCGCGGCCCCGTCTCCGCCCTTAGCGGCCACGTCGCCGCCCCTAGCGGCCCCGTCGTCGCCCCTCACCCTACGCGGCCCCGTCGCCGCCCATAAGCGGCCCCGTCGCCGCCCCTGCTGGCCCCGTCGCCGCCCCTCACCCTCAGCGGCCCCGTCGCCGCACCTAAGCGGCCCCGTCGCCGACCCTAAGCGGCCCCGAGGCCGCCCCTAATGGCCCCAAGCCGCCCCCACCGAGCAACCCAGCAGCACAGCCGCCGAGCCGCCCAGCAGCAGAGCAGCCAAGCCGCCCAGCAGTAGAGCCGCCGAGCCGCCCAGCCGCCGAGCCGCCCGACAGCCGAGCCGCCCAGCAGCTAACCGCCGAGCCGCCCAGCCGCCGAGCCGCCCGACAGCCGAGCCGCCCAGCAGCCCAGCAGCTCAGCCGCCGAGCCGCCCTGCCGTCAAGCTGCTACCAGTCCTACCGGCGCGCCCCGGCCCTCCTTACCCGTACTGGTGAGCTCACTCTTTGCTAGACCTCTGCAGTCATGGCTACCCCCAGTGTTCTTACCTTTGACACTGAGGGTCGTGCTGTTGACTTTGAGGTCTGGATCGATGACCTCCAGCTTTTCCTCCAGTGCGATAGGGCAGACGGCCTCTCTCTGTTCGACCTCACCTCTGGTGCCTCCCCTGCCCAGCCTGCTACTGCTGACAGCACTGTTCG